TTTAATGAGTCTTCTTAATCTGAACAAAAGAAAATCAAAACTCTACATTTTCTCAATAAATATGTTTATTCTGTGTTTTAAGTCTCAAGAAGTTATGGCAGAGATGCTTCACAAGAAATACTTTTCATTTGATTTTACTATGACTATACTTTTTACTGATTGTATTATTAAATTCTTCTTTGTCCACTAAGCATTAATAAACATGAAAAAATCTTTGTGCTCTGTGCAAGAATGCTAAAAAATGTAGATTTTCTCAAGAGATATGAATAAAAACATTCATTTTAGTTTGGAAAAGAAACTCTAGTATTTATATATTTTTTGTTTGTTTTAAATAAATTCATCATTGGAGTTCTGATAAATTTCACTTCTAGAACACATGGAATTTTAAATTTAGAAGCTATATACCAACAAATAAAAAAAAACATTAAAATTCTCATTTTAAAAATTCCAAAATTCTTAGCAATAACTTATGCTTTTAAAATATCAGGAAGCACATGAGAAGAGGAAAATAAGACATTCTTTGTAGTGTTGTAATCCAATTCATGAACTAGCTAGCGCCCCAGACACTGGAGGAAAGTGACTTTGTCAAGATAATTCATTTTCCTAGTTAATAATTAATATTTTATAATATGACCTGACCAAGTCCATAGGCTCCTTTTTCTTTATAATTTCACCAAGTGCTCTCAAATCTATTAAAATGTTATCTATTTTAGATTATCTATTGCCTCATCCAATGCTTGCCAGTTTTTCAAAAACATTAAATAAGTAGCTCTAGTTAGCAATTTGCTTAGAAAGGAATATTGCACTTAAATTCAACTTCTTCAAAACTTCTTAATAAAAGCTGTCAATTAATCTTGCCGTAGGAGTCTCTGGGCTCTACAATAGGTATAATTTTTTCTTTAAAAATTGCCAATTTCAGTGTCCCATGCTCCATGATACAAGTTTTAGTATTTTGCCAGGGAAATTAGTAATGCCTGTTGGGCCCGCCTAGTGGCACAAGTGGTTAAGTGCGAGCGCTCTGCTGCGGCGGCCTGAGGTTCACCCGTTCGGATCCCGGGCGCGCACCGACTCACCGCTTGGCAAGCCATGCTGTGGCGGCGTCCCATATAAAGTGGAGGAAAATGGGCACGGATGTTAGCCCAGGGCCAGTCTTCTTCAGCAAAAAAAGAGGAGGATTGGCAGATGTTAGCTCAGGGCTGATCTCCTCACAAAAAAAAAAAAAAGTAATGCCTGTTGATGAACCTGTTCTATTAAGTGTACTGCTTCATCAGTTCCAACATATGTGTCTCCAAGACTGGTGATTGCTGTCTTCTCATGCTCGTAAATATCCAGACATTTTTCTTACTACAAGGAGTGAGGTGTTATGTTGATAGATTTTGATGGCATTTAAATATGATTATACAGTAGTAATTAGAGGCTAAGAAAAAAAATTGCAATGCCTCCCATTTCTTTGAAATTGTATAAACTGAAGGCTTCTTGGCATGATACCCTATCTAAAATTAAGGATGTGCCAACACTTAAATATGTAAATCCATTTCATTCGAGTAAAGTAAATATTGAGTTCCATTTATTTTTTAGCACATTCCCAAGTAACCTCTTAATAAAATTTAAACTGATTTCATTTATTGAATTTTATAACTTTAAAAGATAATCTAGGGGCCAGCCCTGCAGCATAGCGGTTAAGTGCACGTGATCTGCTGCTGGCGGCCCGGGTTCTGATCCTGGGTGTGCATCGAGGCACCGCTTGTCAGGCCATGCTGTGGCAGCATCCCACATAAAGTGGAGGAAGATCGGCACAGACGTTAGCCCAGGGCCAGTCTTCCTCAGCAAAAAAGAGGAGGATTGGCATGGATGTTAGCTCAGGGCTGATCTTCCTCACAAAAGAAAAAAAAAAAGATAATCTACCATGAGTCAATTTGAGCATCACTTATATTGCTTACATCAAATAAGTTTAAATCTATGAATGTGTAATGATACTAAAGAAATAAATATCATCATTGATCACCTTTGGGGGACACTAGAGAACCAACTCATTATTCTGAAAATCAATAAATAAAAGGAAAAAAATCAAACATTTATTCTGCCTTTCCATTAAGAAATGTACTTCAGGACAGCCAAATGGTTGATGAAGAAAAGTTTCTCTTTATAGAAGTAACTGAACAAATAAATAAAAAAGGAATGACAATTAGAATAATGCCATTTGGCAACCCTAAACTAATTAATGGATTTAAGCAAAGATCAATGGCTTCAAATATCACAAAAAAAGGCACAACTAAACATTATGTGCCTCCTGATAGAAATATACACCGTCATCTATAATATAGTCCTTTGAATCCGAATCTCATCAAGCCTCTAGCTCTATTGATCAATTTACAGGAAATATAAGAAATACAGAAAAAACAAAGGAATGTATTAAATTACAGCATAAGGTGCAATCAGCAAAATTCATACTATGGAAACTATTGAACAAACAACTCAATTTCTTGCACAAACAAATTGTAAGAAAGAAATAGAAATGGATAAATTCAGATATAACATTATATAGTAGTTTTAGACAATATTTTTTACTATTTGCCCTCCCAAGATCTTTCCTATCAAGTCATTAATAAAGAATTAAGATAGAGATATAATCTACCTTTCTAACTTTTAAACTATCGTTTCTCTTTTCTAAGGTAAGAATAACAGTAATAAGAAAATTTGCAAGCTATAAAGCAGTCTCTTTTCCATCGAGCGAAGAGAAAAAGCAAGCCTGTAAAATTCTTTACATCCTTAGGTAAGGTCAGGCAATCTTTCCATTCTTACTCTGGAGTCCTGTATTAGTTTGCTACAGCTGCCATAATATCAAAATACCAAAATATCATAGACTGGGTGGCTTCAACAACAGAAATTTATTTTCCCACAGTTCTGGAGGCTGGAAGTTCAAAGTCAAGTTGCTGATAGGTTTGGTGTCTTCTGAGTCCTCTCTCCTTGGCTGGCAGATGGCCACCCTTCCATTGTGTCCTCACATGGTCTTTTCTCTCTGCACACATGTACCCTGATGTCTCTTAGTGTGTCCAACTTTTTTTTTCTTATAAGGACACCAGTTACATTGGATTAGGGCCCACCCTGACACTCTTATTTAATCACCTCCTGTCTCCAAATACAGTTGCATTCTAAGGTACTGGGAGTTACAGCTTCAACATGAATTTTGGGGGGACACAATTCTACTAACAAGCCCTATACAGAATCTCACCGTATTTATTTGCAACATCAGTGCTGTATTAACTGCTTAAAATGTTTTGAAATTTAGAAAAAACTTCAACGTTGGCTCAGAAGCTAAACCCTTGAAGCTCACGGAATTACACAAGCTACTTTGCAAATAGTCTGTGGCTGGATATTCCTAATCACTCTGCGACTCCCAGACTCTAATTCTCTAGACCTGTGCTCTCCAATATGGTGGCCACATGCAACCAGTGAGCACTTGAAATGTGGCTGCTCTCAATTGAGATGTGTTCTGGATTTCAAAGACTTAGGAAGAAAAAAATGTAACATATCTCAATAATTTTTATGTTGATTACCTGTTGAAATATTTTGGATATATAGATATTAATTTCATCTGTTCCTTCTTTAAAAAAATATGGTTACTAAAAAAGTTTAAAATTATGTATGTGGCTCTTATTCTATTTCTATTGGATGGTGCTTTTCAAAATGCAGGTTTATGTCATTGGACCTGACTTGATTTGAAGGGCTTGGACTTTCAGTTTATAACTCTCTCCATGAATCCCTTCCCTTTTCTCACTCCCACTAATTACCCAGGTACAGAATTCTAGCACTGTACCCAGTCCTTAACTCACGTTTCAAACCTAACACTTGCCCACCCATTAGGAAGATAGTCTGTAATGCTAACAACAAATTCAATTGGAATTTGTTATATTTATTGAAATCGTGATGATTAGTCCTGTTGCCTTTCACCTTCCCCCAGAAATGAGAGAAGTTGTAATAACTGCAATTGACAAAGATACTCTCATTTCTCATTTACTAGTAGTACTAAAGTCTTATACTAATTTTATCAAAACACTAGAACTGGGATTATCAGGATTTCTAGAAATTTTGCAATAATTATCTTGTATACTTGCAGCTGCTAAATCTTATGATGGGGTAGATATTTTGTTTTGTTTTAAAACAGTTGAGAGGAACTGGAGACAGGAGCATTTTAGGATCAGTAATTTATCGCTTCTTCAGGAACACAAAATACGGTTAACATTCGCACCTTTTAAAAGTAGTTATTTTCCGTAATTTAAAGGAGCTCTCGAACTTGAATCCCCAGCAGGGGCTGGAACATTTACAGATTGAAAGCATTTTAAAATTCCTGTTTGCTACACCCTGCTTTAAATACTTTCACATAGGTGGAAAGTGGAGAGGAACAGAAACCGCTCAGTTTACACAGTGAATGATTAAAGGAAAGATAAAAGCTAATAGCCCTGTTTCTTAACTAATTTTTTAATTTTCAAAGCTAACTTGGGCTACACCCCCTCCCAGCTGGATCTAACTAAAATATACGAATGCAGAAACACCCTCCCCCAAATCCTTAACCTTAATTGCAAAATTCTGTTTATACTCATATGGGGGGAAAATGTAAACAAATTGCAATTTCTCAAACATATTAACAAGTTCTATCACTAAAATTTTTAATTGACTTGTGAGCATATAACTCACCTTCAATGAATATAATTTTATATCCTAAGTAGAATGTCAAGCATACCTTACAAACCCCTTAAACTGAATAATAGTTATACTTACCATCAACACTTCAGATTTTCAGTTTTTCTCTAAAACTTGCATTTTAAAATTCAATTTGTAAAAAATCCTATTTTAGCAAGCTTGATTATATCAACTGGTAAAACTTTATTTTACAAGCAATAGCAATTGGATCAAATGATTATTATAATCCAGAGGAAGTATTTTATAACCATAGCAAATGCCATTATACATACTGCCAATACAGATTTAATAGACAATACTGAACTGTACAAGAGTTATTTATTTTTCCTTAATCTCAAAGCTATTTTTAGTAATACAAAAAGCCATATTAACATTTTCCATTAGAAAACAATGTGATGTACAAAACTTTGGATGAAAAGATATATGTCAAATTTCATTTAATCACTTGGTGGAAAACCCACCACTCCATCAATACCACCCAAAGTGTTTTAGGCAATGATTAAAATCAAAATAATGCATCTTAATAAATTCCAGCTGTTAAAAGAACAAACCTAGCAATATAGTTGGTTACACAGTATTTTTGACTAGCCAGGAGTTACTTTTTAAAATCCACTTTTTTCTGAGTCCTACCACAACCAGGTGCCAAGTAGGCCAAGTAGGTATTTGAGAAAAAGTTGGTAAGGTGGGAAAGACCCCACAAAGCAGTCCTTTGGTTACCAGATTTGATTTTTAACTTTCCAACATCCTCCAAGATCAAGAAACCCTAACTGAAAAGTATACTCTTTCCAGTGCTATCTGATTTTATTAGTGGGGAAGGTGTTTGGTAAGAAGTCATGCACTATTACTTATGATCCATTATTCCAATTAAAGGCGTCAAAAGCCAGTTTGTTATTTTAATGAATTTAGTATTTGGCATTCAGTTGTCACAAATGTGGTTCACTGACTTATTGTGAACCCTACAAGGCACACTGCTAAAAATAGCAAAGCAGGTGTGCGTAAACAATTTTTCTTTGCATTTAATGAAGTGATGGTATTTGATACACATCTTTCTCTTACAATTCAACCCAGTTTAGGGTCTAGTGAAGAAAAAAAATCCAGTTATGGGGTGGTAAAGAGCAAAGGAGGTAAACTAGTAAAGATTATTACTACATAAGGAAGTATTATTCTTTTTTTGCTTTGAGTAACAAGATGCTAACACACTACTTTCATTTAAAAAAACTGCTTGCAACTAAAGAATTGAGGCAAGTACTTAACGCCCATGAACTGACAATGTCGCCCATTCATCACCATTGCTTCTTTACACAAGCCTGTTTTCCTAAGGTATAACACATACTCTAAGCAATAATTTGGAAATTAGCCAAGCACTAAGCAATTACAATGGCAGGTAATACACCATCAATTTTTGAAACACATTTAGCCACTTTTCATGACCCATCTGCAGTTTGGATTAAATAGACTCTCACTCAGTATCAAGTTTCTGAACCTGTGTGACAAAAAATGTAGTTTTATGAAATTTTCACATAGGACATTTTATAGTCTTCGGGTCACACTGCTTTTGTATTAACGGATTTATTCTGACATGCTATATAACAACAATAAAAATAATTGTTCAACTTTTAATTGGAAACTAAATGCAGATAAATGGTAACAGATTTGACATGGAATGCTGTAAGATCTTCCTGTATGTAATCTGCCACTGCTGATTATGAATTTCAGAGTTTGAAAACTTCAGATGAAAAACCACAAGAAAATTTACTCTTGATGGCATGCAAGATCTTCCTCAAAATTAACCTAAGACCTAGAAGTCTCAGTATTTTATCAAAACATAAAGAAACACAACAAATTTGTACATTTTATTCACATTTATTTTTCGCTTTTAGTGTGCTCACAGAAAATTAGAACACCTTAAGCAGGAGTTTAATAGCAATTTTTGTAAGCAAAGTTACATTCCATCTCTAAGTCAAATTGGTCAAAGCTTCTCCAGTATTTACAAAACATGATAGACAAGATGCTACACAAAACCATTGCATCTGAAGATTTTTTCCTTTTATTCTCAAAGACGACTGGAAAAGAAAGCATTGTCTGCTGTAATCAAAAACATACCACAGTATAAACAGTAACCATTCCACTTATCACAGCTTGGTTGAGTTTAAAATTTGTGTTTAAAAGGTCCAAGATGACTGCAGTTTTACAAAAATGGGCAGGGTGGAAAGTTGCAAACTTCATGTGCTTCTGGATATCAAGATTTGTTTTTATACAATAGTCACAGTTAAAAACACCCTGCTGGTAATACATAATTACACTTTATTAAGGTCATAAACCAGCAATAAACAATAAAGCCTATACAACTTGTAGTTCTACTTAATCACTGACTGGTACAGCTAACATGAGATAAGTGAAAAGTTCCTATGGTTTAAATGAACTCCTAAGACTATGATCTTTTTTTTAAATCTGGGTATTGGTGTTTTTTTCTCTTTCCTTCTTAGTCAAGACTTGTAGTGTTGTAAACCTGCCTCACAAAATACATCGCAATAACTTTTCTTTAAAAAAAAAAAGACTAAGCCTTTACACCATCATTACTAGTGGTACACTACTCTTGGCAATGTTATGCACCACTTAAGTTTCCCCATCGTGGCTCCTATCACTTCATCTGACATCCCTTTGTGACCCACCATCTCCTTCATATATGGGCATGTCCATAGATTGACAAAGAAAGTTTACATTTTCGAATAAAGATGCAAAGTATGCAAAAAACATTAATACTGATGCAAAAAATAAAAATAAAAGAGAAACAAGGCAGAGGAAGGTGTTTAAGCTCTCCTCGACCTGTTGGAATGGTGGTAACAGAATGATTTGCGATGGGATCTGTGGGGAGGGGGAGGGAACCAAAATTTGCTGCTTAAAAAAAAGGAAAATAAAAAAAGACATCTTTAAAATCAATCCCTGGTTGTAGACAAGTTCTCCAAAACCAGTACCTGGCACCACTCCAACAAACAAACGGGGGGAGAAAAGTTCGTCGATTATCTCAAAAACTCTTGCCCTTTTACTCTGCCGCCTCCGCTGGGGGGGCTTCTGGACTGCACTCGGGCTGCGCCTCCTGTGAGGGGGCTGCGCTGGCTGATGAGGCTGAGGCGGCCGCGGCCTCCTCCGCGGGGGCCGCCTCCTGCTCCGGGGGCGCGCCGGGCCCGGCGGCTGAGG